CGTTCAGGATGTTGTTGGCCGGGCAGATGAACGTCGTCTCGCCGTATGCTTGGCTCGCCGAGGGAAACCAGGCGTTGTGGTTCGGCAGGGCGGGCAGGATCGGGTATTTTTCGAGCATAGTGTCGGTTTGGTTCTGACCGAGTTTTGGGTAGTTGTCTATCATGAAGTTTGCGAACTGATCTTGAGTCTCGACGTTTGCCGCGAAGACGGATCCCTCTAAATATAGGTGAGCATGGGAACTTGCCTCCTCCGTACGCAACACTCACCATTCGATCCAGTCCCAAAGAGCACAGGGACTTTGATGAACTTCCCCTTGTCGTACATGGCGTATGGGTAGTCCTGAATGAGATCTCCATCTATGCAGGGGGTCCAGTAAAAGTGCGGGTTCAATTGCCGTCCGGGAAATGGCGATCCTGCGTTGGCTTCCTGTATCGCCTTGATGTCCTTGCCACGTAAACAACCCATTTGATCCTTTTCGTCTTTGCAACCCAAGTTCTCCGTCGTCTTGTTGAATTGATATTCGAGCTCGTTTACGCGTGGCTGGGCGGGGAAAAATACGGATTCGGCCATGGCCCCCACAAACATCTTCTCATCCTTTCCGCCGTGTGCTGTGAGATGAAGGGCGACTGAGCCGGCACCTGCAGAGACTCCATGAATGACGACGTGATCTGGGTCACCACCAAACTGCAAGAGTGAGCCAAAATAATGTAAACATGAATGTGAAAATGATAATCACCTTTGAAATATGAGTCTTGACCCATTTCATCATCAGTCGCTGGTCGAGGACTAGGATTCATCAGCTCTGGTTTCTACGGTATTGTCTTTGATGAGCTTACGTCCAGCGTTCAGATCGCCGTCTTTTCGCACCCGCTCACTCGCCAGAAACCCCCACAAACCAACTCGGTAATTAAAGCCAACGAAGACGATGTTCTTGCCCGAAGTTTCAACCACTTGAGAGCCGTTCCAGTTTGGATTAGCATTGGAGGTGTAGCCTGTATAGTGTTAGTGACCTTCGACACCTGGTCCATGCATGAGAACAAAGTGAGACAGGGCACTCTCTGGCTCAACAGCACAACGACAGCCTTCAAGGGTCACCATACCTCCACCTTGGATGAACAACCACACGGGAAGTTTCGAGTCTGGTGTTGTGTTGTTGGGCGACCAGACGTTAACAAACAAGCAGTCTTCATCTTGTCCTGCCGTGGGGTAAGACGCGTCTGTTGCGAGACAAATCGAGCCAAACTGAGTGTGATGCGGTCAGCCACAGCACCCACTGAGCAGAAGGACATTCTCACTTCAATAGCATCTGTCGTGCCCTCTTTCTTTTCTGGATCTTGCGGTGCTCGCCATCTCAAGTTTCCTATTGGAGGCGCGGCATAGCGCATCCCCAGGAACTGGTTCACCCCGCTTGGCAGCACATTTCCTGAATAATTGGCGTAGCCGAGATCAACTGCGACCCTGGGCAGGTTGAGCTGTCACGCAGTGTTAGCTTCCACACATACGCGAGGAGGATTTTCTGGGGGGAAAAAAAGGAGACCGAACCTGATCCCGCGCGCCGATGTATTCACGGATGTTGAAGTAGAGAACGACAGTGAGGGCAGCTAATATCATGCTGGCGATGGCGAGCGGGACAGAGTGTTTCCTCCAGTTGAGGAAGCCCTTCCCCTCGAAGGCCGGGTTGAAATTTGGGCGAACATGTTTCCAGGTCATATGGTCCAAGAGCTGGTATCCCACGTGAGAGGAGCCGAAGCACTTAGCAAACCAGCTCATGAGGGGTTTGAGGAAGCCGAGCGAAGCGCAGCGCGGGGTGACTGGACGAGTAAGAGAGAGCGAGCTTTGCGAAAGAGAGTCTAAGCTAGCGGCGGCGGCATGTCGTTTCCGAGGAGGGATCCGTGCCAGTCTCACAGACTTGCTGCAGCGGGTGAGATGGCGCGGGTAGGACGCCGAAGATGAGGCCCCGATGAGATGGATGTACACGAGCCTAGTTCAGTCGTTGATGTTGGGCGGTTGGTGATTTTTCTGGATTTTTCCCTTCCCGGCAGAACCAAGAAAAAAGGGGCCAAGACGTATAGAATTGGCGATGATATCTCTGAGAACAAGGTGGAGGGTTGAACCTTGGCAGTCCCCAAGAAATGGCTTTGTTGACAGGAACGGTACTTTGGCCTGCTGCCAACGGGAAGTGGGAACGCGGGTTCACTGGGGTATCTACCTGTCGACGACTCGATCGATACGCTGTAAGGTAAGGTACAGGTATTCTGCGACACTGGCACACGCACTCTGCGGAAACCGAACCTAGACCTGGGAAGCCACGCTCTGCAGAAGTGATGGGGGCACGGCCGCCTGTGTCATTGCACTGCCAAGTTGAAGCTGCAGTGACGTCGCCAGGGGACATGTCGGTCTACAGGGGGTGATCTGGCTTCCAGAACCTGGCACATCCGAACGGGAGCCACTGGAAACACTGGAGCGACAGCCAACAGGATGCTCTAGAGACGCCGGGTTTTGGCTCTATTCGGCAACGGGACGGCAGCAGTTCACCGACGAGGGACCCGCAAGGCCCATCTTCATCTCTCCAAGCCCGGAGCAGCCAGGCCGCCGTCTGCCAAAAAGCGTTGTCATTGTAAGGTAGGTGTTCGTCGGAGAAGGTGGGAAGAGAAAGGTTTGCTCAACCGGGAACCTCGACTGAACAGAGTTTGACGCAATGCAATCTGCTGCACTGGCAACATAGAGTCCCCGGCACGCTTCGCAGCAGACAGACGGTTCCTTCCCCGGCGCGCAGGGTGCTGCCGGCTTGGCGCTTCATCTGATAGATGAGGTTGAGTCTGTTGCTGATGCTGAACATGGCACCTGAGCAACACTGGACGAGCTTCCATCCTTGCTGTGTCTCTGTTTTTCCTCTGCCAAGGTTCGTGTTGATCGCTATCGTTATGGCCGGTTCTTATCGCTTCCTCCATCGGGGTTCACTGCCTTTTTCTCTGTTGCATTTCGCTGGGCCTGGAGGGGGGGGAAACTGGAAATCTCTCCGGGGACCGTGGCATAGATGAAGCAGAAATACTGGGGAAGTCTCCAGCAAACATGGGGACGGAGACTTGAAGCGAACAGAAATAGAGCCGATGAGACCGATGATACGATTAGACGCGTCCATTCGTTAGCGCAGCCTGCTTCAGACCTCCAGGCTTTCCCATCAGCGAGCAAGGACCTCATCTCGGTCCCGAGAATTCGTGGCTTAGATAAGCGAGACAGATGGCTTGATGCCAACCAACGCTGGAGCTGAAGTCCCGTGATGCCGCCGTCAAGTCAGCAATCAATCCGTCCGCCCTGGACAAAGACGGGGCGTTGCCGTCTTACATGTTCTCACTGTCCGCCTGCCTGTCTTACTGCTGCCGCTGTGCGAGGAGCATCTTCAAGTGGCGGCTTGGCCCGCACGAAGCACCCACTCTGATCCATTGCAGCGGCCAAAAATAGCAGCATGACCTCGCCCGAATGTTGTGTTTGGCGTCTCGCTCTTGATGGCTCTTTGGGGGAGGGTGGTGCAAGGCCAGAACACCATGAAGAGCTGTTGGACGCAGCCGCATGCGGATATCCCGAGTCTCGACGGCGAACCGCTGGCCTCCGTGCGTGGAGGAGGGGCGACTTGATATGGCTGATGATGGCCGCCGACTCCTGTTGGTGCTGGGCGCACATACTTTTAGGTAAGGTAGTAGGTGTGAATCATGGTGGCTCGCAGAGAACGGCGACTGGAGGGAGGACTGGTTGCAACATGCCACGCTTGTGTGATTCGACCGGTAGGCAGAAAAGACATTTCCCTATTATTGGGGTCTCAACTTGATTCAGTTAGGCTCTCTCCCTGCATATCGCAGTGGTGTTGCTCAGGGTCTGCATGTTTCAATCCCTCTCCGCCGCGTCAAGGCGGTATCTTGCAGAGAAACGCAGCACAGCGCAGTTCGACGGGAAGCCAACAGCCACTGTTTGATCTCATGTCTGAGGTAGACACCCAGCACCCCTGGCCTTCGGCTGGGGTGAGGGTACATACAATTGCGGTAGGAAGTAAACATTTCCATTCAAGTGCCAAGATCGGAGAGTGGGAGAAACACGTTTGGTGATGATCAAAGGCTTTCATGTGAAGGCAGTCAGCGCTCTCCAATGACAGACAGAAAACATGTTTGTTGGTGACAAAAGGCGGCATTCCAGCCACCCAACAGCCTGCAAAACGGGAATCTCAACCAGTGTTGATAAACAGGCGGTTAGCATGCTACACGCAGTTGTGGGTGTGATGATGTGCATGTTGGTGGTGTTGGTGGTGCTATCGTGTAAATTTCATGTTCCCCTCTGCCGCTAGACTGTTGGGCTAGGCCGGTGAGAATGTGAAGACAGTTGGAAAGAGACTAGCACGGCCAGAGACTGACCAGTAGACAGCAGGACGCCTGGAGAAATGTGCTAACAGTCGATACTTGGGGCGCTGACCACAATGAGGTGCTGCCAGGGAAAGGGGTCCCCTGTCCGTTTGGTTTGTTTCCCCCCGGCGGCTCGGAAGATCTGGGCCGGGGGAGAGCTACGCCATTGGCCAGCTCAAGGGGGGATGGGTACCTTCCGCTAAGAAGTGACGATGTTATTGCTGGGGACCAGCAGGCAGAGACTTAAGATCCCGACATGGCCCTTCAGGTAGCCATTAGCGTCGCTTCGCCACACCTTGCTTGCGTTCGCGCAGGTGCAGCCGCGAACGAGCGAGCCACGCTGATGCATCTGTGTGTGATCCCACACTCTTCTTCCCGCCATACTTTCACTTTCAGCCCTCACTGGCCTGGTTCGCTTCTAGTTCTGCTTTGGCCTTGCTCTGCCTTTTTTTGTCTCCCTCGTCTGCATTCATCTGCTGCAGACTGCAGTTGCCCTTCTCTTCGTCTCAACGCCGGCCCTACAACTCCAGACGATTTCATCATGACATATCCCACCCGCCCCTCGCGCTCCTAGCTCACTTGCGACAACAACTTTGAGGCTCTTTGACTATGGCCTCCGGCACTGATATCCGTGGGGAAGGGGCGCCGCGGTCGTCCATTGAGAAACTCCCCATTCTCTCCCAAGATCCCGCCTTTGATCGGTTGCCCGACGAAATCATCCAGCAGTATGCTTTCTGTCCCTCAGCTCTAGGCTGCAGCATTCCCTAACCCATCCTGCTCTAGGATTCTCCAGCTTACCGACCCCGACTCTTTTGCCTCACTCGTCCTCCTCAACTCAAAATGGCGTCAAGTCTCTCAGCATGCGCAGCTCTACGCTCTTCACCTCTCGAAATGCGAATCCTACTCCGCGAGCCATCCTCCTCTGCGCGAAGCCGACGTCAAAGATGAAGACCTCCCCCGACTTAGGCGATTGTTCGCCCGAGAAGTCAAGCGCAATCTCTTCGAAGCGTACCTGAGACCCCGCGAGACCGTTATCCGCCTGATATCCAATTCCATCAGCTCTTCGTCATGCCCGGGCGGCGAAGGGATGCAATTCAGTCCGTCTCCCCGCGGTCACCATGTGCTGGCGTACAATTCTTCTCGAATCTACGTGCTTGATATGAGAGGGAAAGAAATAGACGTCAAGAGGGAATTCAAGATCTTGCGCCGACCAGTTTCAACCTGCATAAAGGACGACGGCTCTATGTTGGCGGTTTTGTCGTCGGAAATGCAGGTTGATCTTTACGATCTTGAGCCGGAGCCTCCCCGCCGCACACAGTCCCTGATCTTAGACCATGCCCCACGCACGATCGCCTTGTCGCCATGTGGTTCCGTTTTGGCTGCAGCTTACGAAGGCGGCATTGAGGTTTCGATGGTCAATCCAGGCGCATTGCCTACGGACAGGAGAGCCGTCAAGTGCGATGGTGTCGACTCCCTTTCTTTCTCCTTTGACGGAACACAGATCCTTGGAACTACTGTCCACTCATCGCCTCCCAACACCGTCATCCTGACCGCTCCCTACTACGACCCCGGAAACCAAATGGCCGATGATAACATCAGCGCTCTTTGGACGACTTCAATCCTCTTCCCCAACACGAGTCGGGATTGCAGTCACGCTGTGCTTCTTCAAGATTCAAGCCAGGAGGAGGCAGCCTGGACCTTTACTTATGATCGTAGCTTTGAGACTTTCAGGGCCGTACGCATCGACGACTTGCGCAACGGGACGACATATTTCACTGGTCCAAAACCCCACCCGGCTTCTCAAGCGAAACTCACGCCGTGTACGCTCCCAGCAGCTACCTATCACGGCGACCTGGTCAGCGCCGGTTTTCAGGGCAAGGACATCTGGCTGTATGGTGTGCCAGAAGATCTTGACGCTGTGCCCGAGTTCTCTTCTGGGTCCGATTCATCATCTTCTACGGGTCAAGGACGACGCAACAGCGGTCCTCCGTCTCGTTCGTCATCTGCGCGAGCGCAAGAGAACCCCAGAGTGCCGCAATGGCAGATTCTTTGCGACAAGCTGCGGAATACCTTTGTCTGGGGAGCCAAGATTGCAGAGCTCGAGGGCGTGAGCACTGTGAAATGGGTTTCTGGCTTCGGCGAAACATCCTCACAGGAACGTCTGGTCGTCGCGGCTCGCGGCATCTCCCCTACGAAATCCATCGTGGACGAAGACGACATCGACTTTATCGATGGCGGCAGGGTCACTCTGCTTGATTTCGACTACGGTATTGAGGACGGCGTTAGGACCGAGATTGAGATCGAAGTCGGCACAAGAGAACCTGAAGTCCTGGAGGAGGAACAGAGAGACATCGACACCGAGGTTGCTATTGTTCGCCGTAGGACTGTAGCACAGAGACGGGGTGATCGTGGTCATTTGATTCGTGCCGCTACCAGCGCTGCGACCCGAGGCAACCCTATGCCCTCAATTCCTCCTCTGCCACAGCCGAGAGAAGAACCTGAAATTGGCGAGGCCGAGGACGATGACGACGACCCGCTGGTTCCCAGGCGTGTGGGTGCCGCACCCCGCATCAATGTCGAGCAGCCGGCATCTGCTACTGCCCGGGACGAAGGAGGTGAAACAGCTTCCATGATTGAAGAAGAAGAGGCCGTTGAAGCCCCTTACGCTCATGATGGACCTCGATCTACAAACACGCTCCGCCGCGCCGCAACCGCGGCTGCAATGAATCGACGTCGCAACCCCGCGCCTCCCGTTGCTGGGCCGGTCGAATATAGACGTGCTGATGGCCGACGTGAGCATCCTCATGAGAGCGATGCTGACAACTGGGTTCCTCCGCCGCCGCCATACCAAAAGGAAGACCCAGGCGACCTGCCGTCTTTCTTGCGAAACGCTGCCATTACACCCAACGGTGTACATGTTCCGACCCAGCCATCTAGGACACAGACAGCCGCGCCCACGATTGGATCAGCCTGGCCCTTGCCCAGTCGTCCGACTCTCGCTCAGACATCTCCTCGTCCTCTTAGTTACCAGGAACCAGGCAGCGTCAGTCCTGCCAATACGAGCCAGCATCTGCGGGTCGCTAGTGACACCACGCACATGAGCCGACCTCGCACAGCGGACTCAGATCGACCATTGTCTATTCCTGTCTCTCGTGTGGACGATGAGGACGACATCTACGACGTTTCACCACCTGATTCTCCCCGGGTCGCGGCGAGGAGACCGAGCCAACCCGAGCCCACGGATGAACGCGACCGCATCGTTAGCGAGGTTTCAGTCATTTCGCCGACGAGCAGAAGGGTTAATTCCGACTTGGTATCTCCACAGGATTCTTTGGCTTCACCAGTCATTCATCAAACCCAGTCTCCTCCCTCTTTGGGCTTGGAAATACCATCCGCAGGCCTTGGTATCATCGCAGGGCCGCTCATGTCTCAGCCAATCGACGATACTCATACACCCCTGGTGAGGCGTCTGTCGAACGCACAAACATGGCCAAGATCTGCTCAGCCTGCCAGTGGGCCCCAACTTGGCCCTGAGGCTGATCCGTTAGCCAGCCATCCGTACTCAGCTCCCGCGATCAATGCTAGTGTGGACATGATTATGGCTTCCGCATTGCCGCCTCCACCCAGAGCCGACCAGCTGGCTAGCTTACAGCACCATGATCAGCAAACTCCCCCTCGGCGGTTTTCTGGTAACTTCAGTTCTGTACAGCGCGTTCCTGTCGGCAGTCGTAGGCCCGGTTCACGTAGAGCGTCCGTTCCCCAGCCTGGGCCTCCGTTGAGCGCAGAGCAACCCCCGATACCGAACAATGGTAACAATTCGCCCGTTGAGGATCAACCACTCATCATCAGCACTCCTGGGGGCGTTGTGGGTGCCTACGACTTACCCACACGCCAACAGTCCAACCGCCGAGGGGAGATGCCTTTGTTGGCACCCATTCCTCGTCATCCTCGTCCGGCGCAAATTGGCCCCCTAAGGCCGACGGTGGAGCGGCTCGAGACTATATACAGCGTCAACTCTACTAACCCCGCTGCGCCGGGGCCCGCTGAGGCCTCCGGAAGTAGAAGTCTAATGCCGGCCTGGCTCCAGGCGCCGTCGACAACTTCAGCTGGTCGACAGTCACACTCGTCTGTGAGCCGCAAACCTAGCCGTGCTGAACGGAGCGCAGCCAAAAACATCAAGGACGCGAAGAGGCGAGGATGGAACGGCTCCAAGAAGAAGAAGAAAAAGAAGATTGACCCCGAGGTTGCCAGCACTGCTGCGTGGACCGATGTCTCGGGCGTGAGCAGAAGTGAACACCACGGCAAACCAGAGAAAGAGAAGAAGTGTGTTGTTATGTGAGGACGTGGCCGGAATCTAGCTCTCCACTGGGGGCAGCGAATCTGTTCTCGTGTCTGGCTTGGATACATTGACTATTACGATTGATATTTCAGCACTGGAGTTGGATAGGTCAAGAGACGGAAATCTGGTTGATATTTTTGGGCACCTAGCCGGGAAGAAAAAGCAGCACGGTGATGATTTGGAGGGTTTTAGATTTCCTTCCTGCCTGCTAGAGTCCACGGGACAGCCGTACTCTAGTCACAGTCGGTATCTAACGACGACCAACATGCGTCGGCCAAGGATATCATTTCTTAGCGTATACCACTTCTCAGTACAGATTTTCACAATCTAAATGTATAAATTCTCAGACTCTTGTCATACTTTCGCACCTGCCTCGTTCACCAAGCAGCCGTGTCGGCTGTGTGTATCCAGACTTCATGGGTTAAGAAGCCTATTCCGTCCGACGAACCCTCTTCGCGACGTCCTCATATACTTCCTTTCATCATCTACACGGCTTTTGTGATGGCGTACATGTAAATACTCGACCGGCGACGAAACCTTCATCGAGTATGGGGGGCGAACCTAGGCGGTTGTCACATTAAGCCGCCGATTCTCGGCAAGTACGCAATATTTCCTTCCACTGGAGGCGGGGAGACATTAGACTGTAAAACGTTGTGTATGTGTATACTCTCAATTTACTTTGGGCCCAGCACCTAACCCATGCAGGTGACCGACAACTATTATAAAAAAGCGACCGTGGGGTATAATAGAACCTTTCCAAACAAACGCCAAATGCATCCCAAGCCCATCAACAGGAACGCCGTCGCCCAGCGGAGAGAGCGCTGCAATCTAAACCAGATGAAAAACAGACCAAAAAGCAAGAAAAAGCGAACGTCTATGCGATCTTTTCTCCAAATCCCCATGCCAGCATGTACCGTTATCATCCCACTCAAGAATAGTATAGAAACGAAAGTCCTTGCACCGTAGATAAGGGGCAGAAGAAACAGGAATTACAAAGAGTGATAAAAAGATTCATGAGAACTTGTCAACCCACATCAACCCCAACGTCGTCCATCAGACTTGTCTCGGGGTCTGCGGCACATAGGGCTTGCCGCGCCGCACGTCGCCCAGCTCGGCCTCCTCCATCATCTCCGTGAAGGACGTCAGCCTCTTGTGCCCGGGTCTCAGGACGGTGCGCGGGTCCGCGAAGACGTTGATGCTCTCGCTGCTCGGCTCGCGCGGGAGCAGGGGGTTCTGCGCGCCGGGCGGGCGCCGCCCCGAGTTTGGACGCATGCCGCGGATCGGCGGGACTGGGATCCCGGCGCGCTCCGGTGTGCGATCCGGCGGGGTGCGCGGTTTCACGGAGTCGCTCCTGGCCAGGCCGATGGGGGGCTGCTGGTGCGCGGCGAGCGTCGTGGCGGTGGAGGAGGAGTTGCGGGAGTGGTTGTAGGCGCTCCAGCCGGTGCGGGAGTTGCGCGAGTGGACGGTGGAGGGCGTCTTGAGGATGAAGTCGGTGCGGTTGGCCGCGTCCGAGATGGGGATGGGGTCCGAGATGATGTTGCCAAAGGAGGAGGTGGACGTCGAAGGACGGGGGCCGCCGCTGCGCTTCTTTTCGGATCGGATGGTGGTGTTGCGGCGGCGGCGGCGGGCGAGGAAGAGGAGGAGGGCGACGCCGAGACCCACGCCCGCCAGGACGCCGCAGAGGACGCCGATGACGATGGCCGTCGGGAACGTGCTCCCGTTGTTGTTCTCGTCCTTGCTGTCGCCGTTGCCGTCTTGTTGGGCCGGCGCGGTGGCGGTCGAGGTTGCGGAGGCAGACGCTGCGGTGGATTCGGGGGAGGAGGTCGCGACGGTTGTTGGGATCACGGTGACGCTCGGGATGGGCACGCTAGACGTAGCACCCGGCGTGGTCGTGGGAAGCTCGGAAGCCGGCACCGTAGACGGTTTCTGGGTCTGGTTCGCGTCCTTCACGCACTGGTTCGCGCCGTTGCAGGTGTAGCCGAACGGGCAGCATTGCGTGCCGCAGGTCGGGAGCTTGCTCTTGAGAGCCGTGGTCTTGATCACGGCGTCAGGGTGAGCGTCGGGGTCTTGCAACGAGACGGCGCAGTTGATGGGCGTGATGCGGTCACAGTTGCTTCCTTCGGGACAGCAGAGGACGGTGGTGTTGCCGGCCAGGGCGACACATGTCGAGCCCGACTTGCAGCAGAAGGACGAGGGCAAGCCGGTGCCGCTGCAGGGCGAGAAGCCTTCGGCTGCACATGTCGACTGTCGTTGGAAGATGGACGGGAGAGAGGCTGCATGAGCGGAGGCGAGGAGGATTAAGAGCAGCGTGGCTCGTGTGCATTTTCGTAACCTCGCCATAGCTGGGGGAATGATGTTGAGTGTATGCCGTGTAATCGGCCAGATCCTTTTTGCAGAGCGCGTCTTGCGAAAGGTTGACAAGTTTCCGTGAAACACAGTTCTTGCTCCTCGGAGTCAACCGCGTGTGTAAGTCAGAGGCAGGTGGCGGTATGTGTCAATAGGTAGAGAGGACAAAACAGAAGACCAGAACCATCGGCGGTTCTCGAACAGAGACACAAAGGTGTAGAAGTAGGTCGAGGCTCGGAGACGTTTCGTGGTAGGTCGAAGACAAGTAGACAATGAAGTTGTCACTATTCGTAGAGTGATTTATGAGGACAAGGAAACGACCACTTAGTTGTTCATCGAGTAGGCAAAGAGGCCGCACAAAAGAAGCGAGGACACGGCCCAAGGAAACAGGCAATGATGACCTCAGAGAAAGAAATGAATGGAATCAGATGTCGGGTAGGAAGAGGAGAGGAAGAATCGTTCGAAAGATGGGCTGAAAGACGACGATTCTGTTTCCACCCGACGTTTAGACAGAGGCCGTCCAAGCCCAATCTTTTTTCGTCCTGCACATATCGCGGCAAGGCGGCAAGGGGCCCTCTACGGCCTCCAGCTCAGCTCTGCCACTCGGCAGGAGGACTCCCACGGCACCCATACGCAAGAAACAGTCTGGCAGACTTTTTCCTTCTTCGCCTGCTGCGCGGCTGCGAAACGATCGTGCTTGGGGTCCTATGCATAGGACGGTAGCCACCCGATCGCCGTATGCTGCTTGGGGTCCCGGCTGGACGGTGGCCAACCAAGCGGCCAGCGGGCGGCATCGCGGCGACTTGGAAGGGTTTTGCCTGCAAAACTCCTATGCAAGCGCGACTGGATCGCAGGGCATTGCTGCTTTTCCTCGTCCGGAGCTGGGGTAAATGGGGTGGAGCGATGGTGTTGCGCGAGCCGTATGGTTTGGTTTGCAATATCTCTGGTCCCCAGCGTTGCAGCGCTTCCTACCTTACGACCCCCAAAGTTGGGCGGCTCAGAGTCTGGCCATGAGGCAGTGCAGGTCTGGGTAGTCGCCGGGCCGTTGAAAACGAGAGGCTCTCGACGAAGCGCCGGAGAGTCGTCGCATGTGGGCCCCCGGTCCCCTTGAACGGCGGCCGGTTCGAGCAATTTCTTGTGGTGAAAGCCGAGTTGTGAGAGGTTGAGACTGCAGTGCAGCGAGAAGCCGCCGACGAACGAAAAGGCGAAGGGGTCGCTGCGCAGTGCCAGAGTGTAGCCGCGCACCGCAAACGCGCGCCTGTGATTCGCCGACGGCGTCGACCACATGGCGGCCCCTGCATCTGATGCCCTGGGGCGACTCCATTGTGCAGTGCAAGTGCCCCACGCTAGGTTCCTGTTGTCGTTCCCTTTTTAGCGTCCGCCCCTCTGCCATTGTCTTTTGCTTTTTTCCGACTTGACTTCTTTTGGGAACTGTTACTTGGCCACTATTCCCACCGGTCTTCGGTATACGCAGTAGAGAACAACGTCAGGAATAAGTCGGTATTAGTTGAGGCAACCTGGCCAGGGCTGGGAAACAAGGTTATTCATCAGGTTTTCGAAGCGAAGATGCCCTTGCCGGAGCCACAGCCCAATAGGCCGCCGCCACCTCATGCGTCCAAGCCACATGTGACGTACGCCTCCATTCCAGCCACTCGCCTCCTGGTATGTGGCATTTGGCCCCCGGCTTGACAGCAGCGCCAGCTCCGCTCTCTTCCGGGCTCCCTCTCGGCAGCGGTCACAAGACCCGTCCACCGTCTCGCGAAAGCCTCACCTTGAGGCGCCCGATCGGCAGCCGGCAGGACCTCGCTGCCACTGACAAGTCGCAGAGTCTCCCCGAAAGGAAGAAACCGGACCATTGACAACGGCCACGACCCAACGGCCTCTCCAATACGCAGTAGGCCTTGCCCGTCTGCTGCAGGGCCAGCATCATCAACCCGTCTGGTCTCCTTCAGCTTGTCAAGGGGGGAGGCGTGTGTTGTGGCCGATGTTCGTCTGCAAGTCAGTGCCGTGTGAATGCGCCCGAGGCAAGAAAACCCAACGACGACCACGTCCCATCGTCGCAATCGCCGTCGGTGTAAGTCGGACAGTTCCCAGGGTCCCCGTCTCCAAAGTGTGAACCCCTCCGTGATCTACGTCAAAAATCCGCCTTGCCAACGTTTCCCCCCTCCAGTGTCGCGCCTGTCGCGCCCCTCCGAACCAACAGGCCCCGAAAATCTTCAACCACGCCCCTCCCACGCATCAAGACGGCATTCGTCAAAAATGCCCAACTGACAAAAAAGAATCCCCCCCCCAGCCAGAAACAGAGAATCGCACGCCCGATCCAGTGGTCTCTCCTCATGTCCTCCTGCATCTGCAGGGCCCCCTTCCTTCCCTCCACCCCCAGAGACAACCTCTCAAAGCTCGAGGAATGGGAGGAACTTTGATAGTCATAAACTCGGCAAAGGGAGAAGAACCATACCATACCGCCAATATGGCAAAAGACAAATAGCAGCCGCAGTTCGGCCCATCACGTGGGTACCCATGAAAGGCGTGACCTACCTACCCTACCCCCTGGCCCTGGGCCTCCTCTGCCGTTTTCCCTGTTTTCCTGCCTTTTTGCTCGTCCCCTAAACCCTTTCCACTGCCTATCAAACCATTTTCCCAGCCCCAAAGAG